TTCTGTAAGCAGTGACTGCTCATTCATTTCCCAGCAGCTCAGACCCGAATAATCACACAGAAACTATATCAATTACAACACTGTTTGGCCAATAACTTGTAAATAATTCTAGCTAACTCTTACATCTTGAATTAGCCCATTCTATTACTCAGTGAATCTCCATGAGGCTATGGCCTACCTGTTTGCTTCTGGCTAGCAGCTGGTGGCTTTCTCCTTTGGCAGCTACATGGTAAGTCCTTTACCTACTGTCTCCCTATCTCTGTTATGATTTTCTGCCTGGCTTGGCTCTGTTAAGCCATTGGCTGAAACAGCTTTTGTATTAACCAACATTAATAAAACATATTCACAGCATACAGACGGGAATCCCACATCATCTCCCCTATTGTGTTTAAATAAAAAGGAAGGTTTTAACTTTAACAGTAAAATTGCATATGCGAAATAGTTACTAAGAAAGAATTATAGTTACAACATTTAGTCATTTATCCCATCTCTGTGATTCTAAAGTTTTATATCTAACTTTTCCTGTATCATAATTAACAAAAAGTATAACTATCTGTCTTAAACTCCCCAAAGACCCCAGAAGGATAGAATATTACCAATGCTAATAGGAAGTGCATTGTAAGCAACTTCCAAATTTCTAGAATTGACAGAGCCATCTTGCTGCCTGGACAGTCACTCAAAGTTCTAAAATATTGGGGCATCCATCTTGAGCCTACAGGCCCAGATTATCTGACAGACTTTTCCATGATGCATGATATTTGAAAGACTGTTTTGCCTTTATTGGCAGTTTGTCAGTAACTTTCTTCCATATCCTTCAGAATGTCTGGCAGACTATTTAATGAAGAAGGAACCCATCTCACCTTTAGGAAAGTTCAGTAGTCACTTTTCTGTGCATCATGTACATTCAGTTCACACAGCATAACATCAAGCAGTCAAGGCAAGAGCAGTTTCTTGTCCAAATGGCTAACAAACTCCATAAGGAGCCTCTTTGATGCATATCATCCTCGTAAAGTAGATTGGTGCTCCCAGGAGGAGCTGTGTCACATTGTCATGAAAAGTTCTAAGTTCTTAAAACATTTGAAATGCTATATCCTGTTAATCTTTGAAAGGCTTGAAGAATACCTATCCATCTGATATATCTCTCTATACATCTAGAAAATCTAATATGACTGCAAGGTTGACTATTATAGCTGACTATCTATTAACCTGTATTTCTTAATCATACATTACATTTTTAATGAACTGTACAAACAAAATACCTTAATCAAGAGCAGAAATATAACTGTTAAGAAAAACCTGTCCACCCACACAAAGAACTCCAATCAAACCAGATTAAGCCAAATCAAATGCCTGTGTTTAGTAGATGGCAAACTGCTGGGTAGCAGGGAACATGGCAGGGGGAAGACAGAGGGTACACACATGGAAACCCAAAACTGTGTGATCCTTGTACCAGCACAAACCTAAATACCCTGTGAGAGGGGTCAGTGCTTGACCAGATGACAGTTGGAATCCAAGTGCTTGGTAGGCTGGGAGTTGGAGTCTGGACCAACATTCCAGACTCCTTGGATAAAGGCGTGTGACAAGGAGCTGAGGTAATATTTATGACCAACATTTTATACTCTCTTTGGATAAGTGGGCATTGGCTCAAGTTTGGCTACTTCCTGCAGGCATGGGGCGAAGTGGGAGAGGGGAGAGCTGAGAGTTTGCACCCTCATGCTCATCAAGAGGAGTGACTGGGATGGCATCCAGTTTGCTGTCATCCTGAAGTCCTTAAGTAGCTGCTTTTTGAGGAAGGAGAGAAGGCAGGTGGTTAGGAAAAAAAAAAATATTGTTACTACTGGTCCTGTGCATTACCTGCCAGAAAGTAAGGAACAGGAAAGTACCCTGGCTGGTTAGGTGAGGATTGGGTGTATCAGGTACAACCAGTTTAGTCTGTAGGTTTCCTTTATCTAGGAGAGTTGGTACCAATGATGAAGTCCCAGGAGCTTTCCAGGAGCTGGTGCAGGTGCTTGGCATTATCTGGAGAGCACTTTGTGAGTTGGTCTTGGTCCAGGCAGCAGGAGTGACCTGTGAAATATGCTTGAAACTGGCTGGGGTTAGCAAAAAGCTCTGAGACAGTTAGTTTTTTTTTTTTTTTATTTTTTCCAGACCTGATTTTGATACAGCAGTAAAACTTTTCCAGGAAACTGTAAGAGAACTGGAACAGATTTACATAATAACAAGAGGCTATTGCTTTAGGTTATAAGGTATAAACATTTTAGAATACAATTAAAGTAAACTGGAAACTTTGAACCTCTGAAGATACACCTGAAACCTGTTAATCCTAAACTATAAAGCCTGTTAAGTTTTCAAATATCCTACGACAGATCTGGGAGGGATAAATGAACAAAAATGAGACAGCTTTTAATTACTCAGGCAATCCCAGATCCTCTCCTTGTCCTTGGAGCACACCAGTCTTAGAAGCAATGCTTACTATTAGCTGTTGATTACAAGAGGCTCAAAGATTTTTTTCCTGTTGGGGGAAGATTTTAGTCTACCTGTCTTCTCAGGATGAGATGATTGATTCCCCCGAAAGGCATCTAGGAAGCTGACGAGGTGAAAAGCCGTTTTTTGTAGGGCCCTGTTCCCCCTTTACTCCCTGGGGTGCATCTGGAGGACAGTTTTGGTTAGCCAGCTAAGCTTCCAGCTAGTTTCTGTTATCTCTGCTATAGCCTGGTGATTTAGCTGAAGGACTTTGTTTCACCTTTGGTATGGTAATTTCCCACCTCTCGGGAGAGTTCCCACAAGGTGCCTAATTCTCTCTCCCGGCTTGACCCACTGTCTGTCGCTGCTATCCTCCCCCAACCCCCTGCCTGGGAAGGAGTTCCCACACGTCGCCAAACGCCAAACCCCCCTTCCTTCCCCGCCCCCGGCTGGGGGGGAATTCCTTTACTGGGGCCAAGATATATTAGCTAACTTACATCTTAAGCTAACCCATTTCTAATAATCTGTGAATCTCCACAAGTCTTTGACCTACCTGTAAGGTCTGGCTCATAGCTGGTGGCTTTCTCCTTTGGCAGCTACATGTCATCTCCTTGACTCCACCTAATCTCTCTCTCTCTCTCTCTCTCTCTCTCTCTCTCTCTCTCTCTCTCCTTTGTGGTTCTGTATCAAGATGTAAATTCTCAGGCATTTTTTCACTCCACCATCATGAATTCTAACCCTATGAAACCCTAAACCAAATTAATATTGTATGTTGTAAATTGCCTTAGAGGCCAGAGTGGTGGCGTACTCATTTAATTCTGACATTCTTGGGGTAGAGGCAAGCAGATCTCTATGAGGTTGAGGTCAATCTAATCTGCAGAGAAGGCTTTAGGGACAATCAGAACTGTTATACGGAGAAACCCTGTCTCAGAAACAAACAAATGAATAAATACATAAATGGCTTTAGGCATGATTTTTAGTATAGCAATAGAAAAGTAACAAGACACTCTCTATATTTCAATTTTCTCCTTTCTAGATGTGATTGTATTTGTAAATATATGAGTTTAGTTATTGAGAATAAGCAAAAGTACCACAAACTATATCAGATACTTGGAAACACATATATAATTTGTTAGTAAATACATCAAGAAAAAGTAGCTTCCTATTATGTCAAGAATATAGATATAAATAAAATCAATATTTAACCAGGAATTAAGTTAAGCATTGTAACATAAAATTTATAAAGTAAACAATAAAAATACATAACATACAAATTTAAAAACTATTGCATATGTGTATTTCTTTTTTAAATCTGAAAGTAAGTTCATTAAATAAATATTTATGTAATAAATATTACAAACCAATACTACAATTCCCTCAGGTGGGCTAGCATTTGATTGGCTCATTTGAAAAACAATTTGGACATACATATTGTGAACTATAACAAAGAATTACCCTTTGAATATATTTCTATTTCTGTGAATGAACTACAAGAAACAATCTAAAATGTGTGAAAAGTCTGAGACATAGTTTAAGCTTCTATCTAGTCAAGTCTTTTGACTAAAATCAAAGCTAGTATCTAAAGTTACACAATGTTTTATATAGATGATAGGGGAGTTCAGCCAATCATATTCTGTTCTTGGGGCGTGTCGCCCTTAGGCAAAAGTTTACCTATAAACCTGGCGAGTGCACTTCCCCATCTCTCTCTCTCTCTCTCTCTCTGTCTCTCTCTGTCTCTCTCTGTCTCTCTCTCTGTCTCTCTCTCTGTCTCTGTCTCTCTCTCTCTCTCTCTCTCTCTCTCTCTCTCTCTCTTTCTCTCTCGCCTGGCTCCTGCGTCCGGATGGATCATTGGGATTCTGGTGTAAGTCTTCCTTCTGTTTATTAAAGCTGTATATTTTGTATTAAGCTAGTCTGGAGGATCTTTTATCACCGATCGCACCGCGCCACTTGCCACTTCGTATAGATCATAGTCTCAGGTAATAATTCAAATCACTCAGTTAGAAAAGAGACCAAATTAGATATTTTAAATAATATTATAGTTGCAAATTAATATATATGTTATATCAAATAGATAAAAGTATATACAAAGACTGTCATGTGCATTCTAGTACATATGTTACTTAATTAAGTACATATGTTACTTAATTAAAGTGACTGTTATTTGGTGCTGGCATTTAAACACAGTGTTTTGCACATGCTAGGCATATTCTTCACAACTGACCTATATCTCTAATAGCAGGTAAACTGAATTTTGAATAAACATCTATTGCATAACTTTAATGAAACATATACATCTAGAAGGCAAATAACATCAAATGTAGTTTTTTTATGCACTAAGCTTTTATCATTTATTCCTATATCTGTAAATAGATATTTCTATGATTTGTTATATTAATCTATTTTACTTTCTTGCCTTTTTGTCACACATTTGCTTTTATTGAAAACACCAGGTGGGACACTTGTAGCAATGGTAAAAAAAAAAAAAATTAAAAATACCGGGGACTTGGTGAAGCTGTCTGGTGGGTACCCTTTGGGACTCATATGCAGATGCCACCCCAGATCAGGAGGAAGAGGACTTCAAAGGCCACGAAGAACGAGGCTACTAAGAAGATGAAGTGCTCCTTGTAAATATAATGTGTGTAATTGGTGGAGAAGACCTTGTAAATGAAGAACCAGGAGGTGAAGAACATGCTGTTAACTAAAAGTACAACAACCAGGTGTGGAAAAACAGCTTGCTTGATGGGGCTTGTGTGACTGATTACTCATGGCCTTGAGCTACATTTTGCCTTTTACAGGATAAACCTTACTTATCTGTTTATTAGAGTCTGTTTCCTTGTAATTTTAGGGCTCAAGCATAAGGCCTTGTACATTGTTATACAAAGAGGGTGGCCCTTTGTTTGTCCTGGCTGCCCGGCTATCTGACACCCAAGATAACCACATAGAAACTGTATTCATTAAATTACTGCTTGGCCCATTAACTCTAGCTTCTTATTGGCTAATTCTTACATCTTAATTTAACCCATTTCTATTAATCTGTGTATCGCCATGTGACCGTGGCTTACCGGCAAGATTCTAACCAGCGTCCATCTCAGGCAGGAGATCCATGGCGTCTGCAACTCTGCCCTTCTTCCCAGGAGTCAGTTATGTCTTCTCTACCTACCTAATTTCTGCCCTATCAGGCCAAGTAGTTTTTTTATTAATTAACCAAGGAAAGCAACACATAAACAGAAGGAACTACTACACCAGTACATATTAGGCCAATTCTCTACCTGTGAGTCCCATTTCAAGACCTATTCTGGAATTTCTAAGCTTGATACAGTACGTATGTGATATATTTACAGATACAAGTACTTGTATTAAGAAAATATGTGAGCCTACAAGCAAATTATTTCTACAGAGGTCAAATGATATATGCATAGGAATATAAAAAGAACATAATTTCTCTGGGTAAGAATCTGTTTTCTCGGGCTGAAGAGATGGCTCAGAGGTTGAGAGCACTGACTGCTCTTCCAGAGGTCCTGAGTTCAATTCCCAGCAACCACATGGTGGCTCACAACCATCTATGAGACCTGGTGCCCTCTTTTGGTGGGCAGGAATGAATGCAGACAAAACATTGTATACATAATAAATAAATAATAATAAAAAAAGAATCTGTTTTCTCCTGTTAGTCTAAAATCTTCCCATCATCAAATATTTATCATGGGTTACTAGGAACTTAGCAGTTGCTAGGGGTGAGCTTGAATCAGTTCATACCCTTTAGGTGTTTGACACACAAGGGATCTTCTCACTATTAGCATTTCTAAAGCATAAGAAATATACATATGTGTACATTGACCCATGAATAAATTCAAAATGACCTTCAAATTTACAGAGAAAATGGTTATACCCAATAGTCTCCATAGATGGATTCTATTAAAAAATGGTAACCAAATAGAAACTAAAATTTTCTTTAAAAATATAAAAGCAAAACCAAAGAAAAACTAAAATAAAAACAAACAAAGAAACAAAATATTATAGTTAAGCTAAAGTTTTTTTCTGAGATTTGGAAGTGCACATACTGGGTAGAGCAAGAGCACTGATTGTTCTCAGCATGAACACAATACACAATTAGTATTTCTAAGAAATTGGTAAAATCTCCATTTCTACACGTGCTGTTTCTGCTTTCTTCTGTTTCTTCTACAACTTTTTCAGGTTGTAAATTAATTACATCAATCCCTCTTCTCTTTCTTACTTGCCACCTCTCTGATATATATCCTCGTGCTCTTTCAAACTCATCGTCTCTTTTTGCATTAATTGCCGTTACTTTTTTTTAAGTAAAATAGCTTTTTATTCAGCCTCTTTTCATGCCAAAATGTTCTGTACATACTCCACTATAATTAGCTGTTACATGCATGTATATAAATATATGTATGTATGAATACACTAAATACATAGACACAGCCTGCTCAACTCATATAATGTTGCCTGCATGTATGTTTTCAGGGCTGAACACTTGGTATTAGATAACTCATTGTGCTCATCCCCGAGGAAGACTGTTTATCTTGCTCTCATCATTTCTCAGTTGCTTTATAGCTCTTTGTGTAAAGTTGAGACCACATGATTTTTCTCTGTCCCCTTTACCAGGTCTATTGTTGTACTTGTTCAGCTGATGTTTAGTGGTTCATGATTATCTGATAGATGACAGAGATGATGACAGAGCCCAACTCTAAACCCCAGCTTTCCTTGTGAAGATGATGGGGACTATGAACAGTAAGACGTCAATCAGTTGATTGCATAAGTTTTATTAGCTATTGCCCAAATTATGCCAGAAAATAATTTATAGCATGACAAGTAATATAGCACAAAAGTTTACTGTCCTAAAAGATAAAAATGAAAATGACAAGCCATGTGAAAGATCTGAATAACATTCTTCAATAAAAAGTTCTACATCTAACAGTCTTGAGGAAGGTGGAAGGGTGACAGTATTATGTATTCCATACTGTGTGTCGCATAATGCTCTGAATTTCAAAAATCCTGAAATAAACCATTATAGATAATAAATAGCAAGGAGCTAAGAGTTACTCTAGTATTTGAGGCCATGGGAGTATACAGTAGGTGACAACTAGTCTTCAACAGGCTGACATGATAGATGTGTGATTCTTTAATGGGGAATTCCCTCTTGGCAAGGCCATGGGGTCAGTGGCGGTATATAACTATTTGTTGGCCTGTAATTTCTCTTATGAGTCATTTCATTGCTTCCCTAAGAATAGCTTTGGGTGTTTTCCCGCTGCTTGTGTGTTTATCTTGTGAAAACTTTTCATCTACTGGGCACACATATACATGTGGATGGTCAGGAAAATGACTTCTCATTAAGCTTTATGATTTTTATATATATATAAAATATACTAGGACAAGCTTTGTAACTAGATCTATTGTTCTGTAAGGCTGTACAATACTTAAAGCTGGCTTTGTTCCTATACTTAGACTAACAGGAGGAAACAACAATTTCTCCTCGGTCTAAAGAAAACTGTACACAATTAATTCATTTTTTTTTTGCCTCAGAGCAAGTTCAAAATAGACTAACAGTTTTTGATCATAGGTTAAAAACTTTATAGCTATGCACAAAGTCAGAGTCACAGGTGTTTAACCGAGGTTCTTTACAAAGAGCCTTAAAAACCATGCCAATTCTTTGTTTGCCAAGTCGAGCTGATAAAACAGCTATAGCTTATCTCTCTGGGCACCGTGCCCTGCTCTCTGGGCACAGTCTTAATCCAGAATCCTTGAGACTTTGTGTTGCATGGTAAAGGGTCTGCCCTATAGCTGGCCCAAATCTTGTGCTTTTGACTATTGAAATGTGACTCTTGTAAATTTTTATTATTGCTTCAAGCCTCCTGTTTAAAAAAAAATGAATTTAAGATAGGTGAACAGAGAAACAGAGAGAATCAAAACAAAGAATTTAAAGAGATAATTGAAACTAAAGATTTAGAACTATAGAATTGGAACTAAAGAATTGAAGCAAAGAAATATAGACAATTAGGACAAGAGAATAGGAGAGGCAAGAAACATGACTTGAACAGCATGTGTGTGAGTTCATTCTCTACCCCACAGATAAGAAATTTTCTAAGTTCCCTTTGCTAGGCTGTGACCTCTGACCTGAGCTCTGGGAGGTAGGTTTGTGAGCTGGACTCACAAATGACTGAAACTCTCATAGCATGAACTTGCTAAGTAAAATATGAATGACCATGAAAGTATGTGAAAACGTATGTGATAGAGCATACCCGTCATAATTAGGACCTGATTTAGAAAAAAAAAAAAAGATTTAGGAGGTTTCACTTAACTGAGTCTCCTCCCAGTTTGCAGACTTTGAACATGCAGCATTCTGCTAGTCTATCTGGGAAAGACCAGAATTAGGATGTAGTTGTTTGTCACAACACTAGAGAATAAATATTTATGAGTTTAAGGTTTTCCCATTTATGCTTTTTTCAAATACAGTACATCAAATACATAACTCATGCATGTTTATTATGAAAATGGAAATAAAGAAATTAAAGAAAAGGAACCCTACCACATGCACCTTACCAGAGGCAGTTCCCCCTCCCATATGCATGTGACTGTGCCTTTATTTGGATTACAGAGATGTAAATACAATATCTTATTCCTGTGATTCAGTTTCTTCATTTTTGAATTCTTTTTTTTTTTTTTAAAAAAAATATTCTTCTCTCATGAAGTACATCCCTACCACAGGTAGTTTTCCCTTCCTCCTCTTCTGGCAGTGTATCTACCACACCCGGGATCCACTGTTCCTCTATTCAACTTCAGTAAAGGCAGGCCTCCCTGGGATATCAACCAAGCATGGTATAACAAATCACAGTAAGACTAAGCACATCCCCTCAATTAAGACTGGACTAGGAAATTCAGTAAAAGTAAAAGAGCCCCCCCAAACAGACAAAAGAGTCAGAGACAGACTCACTCCTTCTGTTAGGAGGTCTCACATTATCAAGTTGCACAACCAGAACATACGCAGAGGACATAGGTCAGACCCAAGAGAGACCCCCTGATTGTTGTTTCAGTCTCTGTGAGTTCCTGTGAACACCGGTTAGTTGATTCTATGAGCTGTGTTCTTGCGGTGTCCTTGGCCCCTCTGCTTCCTTCCTCCCCACTCTTCTGCAGGATTCCTCAAGTCCTTCTAATGTTTGGTTGTGGTTCTCTGCATCTGTTCCCATCAGCTGCTGCATGAAACCTCTCTGATGACGATTATCCTAGGAACTTGTTACAAACCAGAATATCAGTAGAAATCATTTCATTGGCATTTTGTTTTGTTTTCAAGACATTTTAGGTTCTATCTTGGGTTCTATGGACCTATCAAGCCTAAAATAAAGAATAATTGTACTACAATCCACAGACTCTGGGAGGCTAAGTAACAGAAAGGCTAAGTAACAGAAAGGCTAAGTGAGGATGTATGGATCTTTCTGAGAAGGGGAAACAGAATAGATTTTCATCAATGAACTTGGGGGATAGTGAAGATGGGAACATTTGTGAAATCTTTATCTCATCTTCTGAAAAGTTTGAAGCACATGACTAACCTTCTGCATTTAATTTTGCTTTCAATGCTCTTAATCTACCCACACGTTTAACATCTTATTCCATTCCCAACTTAAACCGATATTTGACTCACAAAATGAAAATGATCAAAATGAAAGACATTTTTCAGTAATTCTACCACCATTCTGTTTAAGGGTCATTGACTGCCATCAAAATAAGAAAAATAATAGCACTACCTGAAATTTTAAAGAGAATAATTAAATAGATGAATATATTTAAAAGAACTAGAACAATGACGAGATTATAGCATAAGTTCAATACTGGCTGCTTTGATTATTATCATTATTTTCATCTTTAAAATGCTTCCTTTTACTTGTCTTTCTTTTCTTTTAAAAAAAAATCAGAGTATCGGGCATATAGAACACAGCAAAGTAATGGTACTGCTTTAGCTATTTAACTTATTGGTGCTACAAACTACCAGATGAAAACATGTTAAGGAAGGAAGACTTGGTTTATGTTCACAATTCAGGAATGCAGTCCATCAGAGCAGGAAAGTCCTGGTTGGCAGGGCTTTGGGGCAGCATGTCCCATTTCACCAGCAATCAGAAAGCAAGAATGAGGAAGGCTGCTGCTCACATCATAGCTCCCATTTATTTTTTCAGGTAGTCCAGGACATGGAATGGTACAATAGCAGTTAAGATTGGTTTTCTCATCCCAGTTAACCAAATCTCGATAATCCCGCACAAGTATGCCTGAACACGAAATTAATCTAGTCGCTTCCTCACAGACAGATCCAGAAACTGATCTTTTAGGTGGTGCTAGATCCTGCAAAGTTGACAATATCAACCACAAAAAGGACTGTATTTTCTTTGTATTGTTATGTAGAGAAGGAGAATGTATTGCATACAGGCACAAAGAAGCAAGCCTTAACTGTGAATAGGCATGGAAAGATGGCTCTAAGACTACGTGATATTTTAAAATATTATGTAAATCAAAATAACAAATTAACATAATAAATATTATACAACTGCTTCTAGTGATTATTATTTCCCATGCTCCTTGTTTAACCAAAGCTAATATTTACTGTTCAGCTAAAGATTAAAAATAAATAATTTCATGGAACTTGTAGTATCTTAATTAATCTAATTTCATCCATAAAATATATGACTCAACTTGGCAGGGATCAGATGCAATTTTATTATCAATTTAAAATTTAAAAATCTGATTGACTAATTTTAAATCATATAAGAGTAAATGAAACAAAAGAGTAATTATTGCTTTCAAAGACATCTTTTCTGCTTTTCCTACTCAAAAAAGGACTCTGATTAAAATTTTTAGCTTTGGCAAGCAGTTATCCAAAAATATGATCAAGTGATAAATAGATGAGAAATTCATGACTAAAGCCCAGCTTTCTGCTGTGCTTTCTAAGTAATTTTTTCAACCAAATTTGAGTAATTATTTTTACAATAGTGACTGATGTAAGTCATATCCAAAGCAATTTGGAGAAACATCAAAAAATGAAGAAAATGTTCATATTTTGTAGAGCCAATGGATAAGTTAATTTTCCAAAATTTCTTCAATTTAATATGCTAGCTCAAATTTAGTATCCCAGGAAGTAAACTCAAAGATAGAGGTGAAGGATATCTATTGAGCTGGACTCTTCGGAAATAAAAGAAGCAAAGGAAAAGTTTGAAGTTCTTCTTAGGTTCAATGTCGACTTTGGCTGAACTCAAAGGGAGTCCTGGAACTAAAATAGACCTCTTGTGTTCCTCAGGGCTGTAACCCAAAATAGCCTTGTCTTTATATTCACAGCCTCATTACTCATGGGTGTGGTCTTGGAAGAGTTGGCTCTGTCTAACTGAGGCAGTTTCTGAGGACGCCAAGAGCTACAAGTCCTTACTTCAGGGTAGAACTGGGAAAAGCTGCTTGATTTTGCCCAGAACATGTTAAATGAACATTCTCTCTAATGTTCATTTAACAAGTAGTGAAATTTCAGAGCAAAGTTGTAAGGAAAGTTCTATGCACGTCATTCTTTCTGCATCTCTTCTACATGACATTGTGGTAGTCTCTGAAATCAAACTTATGTAACCATCTTCAGGAAACTTTTAGCCTCTAGACAGACCTATATTTATTCCTACTTTCAAATAATGATCTCTCTCTCTTTTTAATGCTGTCAGTTTCTTTCACACGAGATTCTCCTTAAAAAGTACAGTCTTAATCATCTTTGTTATCTTTAATATCTTCCACAGGATCTTCATTTTAATAGCAATGTAATTACATTTACTTATTTATTCTCAATATATTTTAATTGAAGTAAAATTGTATCAGTTTCCTCCCCTTCCTTTTCTCTTTTCCTCATTTCAGTCCCTCCTGGCTACTTTCTGTTGAAACTATCCCATGAACCCCACTCCGAAGTTGATAAAATTTTCTTATTTGATTATTATTGCTACGTACATAAATGTATTTACACACACAATGGGCTAAGTCCACTTTTGTTGTTTGTTTTATATATTTTAGAGTTGAGCATTCTGTATTGCACAATGAATAAGGGGTGTCATCCTTGGGAGAAGGTAATTCTCGTTCTCCCTGCAGTCATTACCTGCCTGTAGTTTGGACTTTAGTTGTTGAATACAATAAAATTTTCCACATCCTTGTCACTCATATGTCTGTGATAATCAACAGCTGTCTAATTGGATTTAAGGCCCACTCAACAGGAGGAAAGTCTTGCCGAATAACAGAACCCTAGCTAGATACCCAGGGCTTCTGAGGTTATGAAACAAACCATAGAAAAGACTCTAGCTAGTATGGTCATGTTACTAGACTAGTGTTCTAAAACATCCTTATAGCACAGATAAGTGAGACTGCCTACCCTCATCTAAGAAGCCGCTCTTTACTTCACCGAAAATGACAATTGATTGTGAACCTAGCCTTGAATGGGATATTGAGCATGTCGCCTATTCTTTTGCCTAGAAGAACTAAGAAAAATATCAAAGTATGATGAGTGAGTGGCCAAACTGCCCTGTGGTGCCACCATTGATCTTGCCTCTCTCTCCTCTAATTGTGTTACCAAGGGGTACACCTCTCATGTTTTCATGTTTGCTGTGTTGGGAGTTCTCACACCCAACACTTGTGCTGGATGGATTCCCATTCTTGCCTTATGCTCATCTCTAGACACAAAATGCCCTCACACTGGTGTTTTTCCCATCTTTATGCACCCTCAACTACACAGGTATCAATGACCCCAAGGCCACAAGGGATAAATGAGACCAACGTGCTGCTATTAAAAAGCTGTGTGTCTTTAAAAAAATAAAGAAAAGAAAAAAATCAAAGTTACTTTAAAGATTGATTTTTGTTTTTTTTCTCTAATTCCTCAAAAAGTGAGATTTGACTACTTTAGGATAAAATCATTATTTTTCTTGATAACTCCTTATCCAGATACAAACTTTTGTTGTTTTCTTTTACTGGCTTACTGTTTTCTCATTTCTGTAGCTAAATGTCAGTTGGAAACAATTTAGGGAAGAAAAGATGGTTTTTGGCTCATAGTTTCAGGAGGTTCAGCCTGTAGTCCCTTTGGCCCACGTACTCAGTGGAGCACTACAACATCAGAAATGGTAGAGACCATTCTTCCTTTCCTTGTAGACAGAAGGTAAGCAGTGGAACCCAGGGGTGGGCCTGGGCAAGTTACAGTGCCAAGAACTAATGCGGTCATGCAATGACTCTATCAAAGGATTAATCTACTGGTT